AAGATTGAAACGCTTCCAGCGGCTGCGAAACTTTGGAAATTTTTGAACTAAGATCACTTAAACGACCTCGCTACACTGAAGAAAGCTGACGGAAGCTTTATGAAAAGACTGGAGGATATGGGATAGATATTGCTGAACACTAATATTCTAGGCTGTGGCGTTAATATTGAGACTAGGGAAACCATCGAAAATATTTGTTTCCGGCTGGTTACATAAAGATAACTCTTCACAGTCAAAAAAAAAAAGGGCTATCTCTACTTTTAGCCCATTTAAATCAGTTGGTATTGACTGTATACAACTGTGTTTTCTTCAAAAAGGCCTTGATATATTAGCACTGATAGTAATAAAAATGTTAAGTCTTGAATTAGTTTTAATACATGACACCCAAACGTTGTACGAGGGCTAGGGCTAGGTAGCAATGCAACATTCAGATCAATTGAGGAAGGAATGGTCAGGAAAGGAGTACATTGACTGATCACAACATTGATTCTTAATATGCTAGAGATAAGAATGAAAATATTTAGAATGATAGTAAAGACATTAACTGCCGGGTCAACGAAACGATGCTCTGAAGGAAGCGTTCGATCGCCACTCCTTGGTCCTTGACGAGCGCTTACAGACTCTTGATGGCCGCGGATACGAAGTTCAGGGCTTTGCGGATGATCTGGTTATTATGGATAGAGACAATTTTGTCAATACCGATAGGATGCTACTAGCTTTTGACGTTACTCAAGATTGGTGCTACAAGAAAGAAGTCTCGATTAATTCGAATAAAACAAACGAAATACCTCTGAAATATCTAGGAGCAGTTCTAGATAAAATTCTTGCTTGGAAAATCCATTTATTATATAGATATAACTGGCGAAGCCCTAAGGACAACTTTTGCGTGCCAAGGACTGTATGGTAAAGCATACGCCCAAAGGTAGTTCGGACGAAGGTTAAGATGACCCTTTATAAAATTCATCCAGCATCCTGTCTAAGCGTAATGGAAACAATGTGAACGTGCCCCACAGAAGCCCAAGCAACGCTTACTGGACTCACTCCATTAGATCTTACGGTTAAAAGGACTACAACCAGCACTAAAGCTTCGTCATTTATGTGATCTAAAAGGTCAATGTAACATATCACATAAAGATTCTGGATAAAGTCTGGAATTTTTCGTGCCTTTAGACCTTTGATGAGTAGAAAACTAGCTTTCTCGAGGAAATTTGAAGAGATCATCAGTGACCGACCAACTTGGAGATATGACAAGAATTATCTTAAAACAGGATTCAAAACTATAGTATATTGATGGGTCCAAAATGGAAGATGGCAGTGCAGGAACAGGAATTATGGGACCGAAATTCTACAAAGCAATCGCAATGGGGAAAACCGCTTCCATTTTATAGGAAGAGGTTCATGCCTTAGAGCTATGTGCGAGAGAATGCCTACGTGGGGGCACCTAAAGTAACAAAATATGCATTCTTTATGCAGCTCTAAAATCTTTAGTAAACTCTTCATTCCAATCAAAGTTGGTGTGCAATTCATAAGCGTTTTTATGAATAATAATTTTATTTTACTTTGCTATTGGACACGTTCTCTATACTCTTTTATTAAAACCGAAAAAATTATACACTTTTTTAGAATTTTTTTGTTTTATCTTTATTTTATTCAATTTCTAAAAATACAATATAATATAGGTTTATCCGCACCCACGTGTGCTTCCGTCGAGATCAAAATTTTAAGAGAGCGAATCAAACCAACGAAGTTTACTTGAAACCAAAAAACATATATCAAAATTACTTATTTTTAGTGTAACAATATAAGCAATAAAAGCAGTAAAAGTAAGAATTATAACCGTAATTAGATTAATAAAATTAAAACATATTAACAGTATGATATAAAGATAAATTATAATATATATATTATTTATATAATAAAGTAATTATAATAATAGATTTCAAATGCTCCAACAGTTGGTGTGGGAATACTTTCAATTTTTTAATACCCTAGCATCGAGGAACTATGTTACTGAAATAGCAGGCTCCCTCGCAAAGAAAGGAGAGTACATGCTCTACTCATCTCATTAGTCCAGAGCCCTTCTGCGGGGTAGCAAATAGCTTCACAAATAACTTATTTTGTGAACGGGAGAAACGAAATTGACTGGAATACTGGCGCACAGGCATTCGCAGTCAAGAAGATTCATTGATCTTGAACGCATTAAAGTTGGACTATCCTAAACCTTAGCACAAACAATATTAAGCTCTACGCTGAACTTGAATAATATAGGTGCGGTAGAAAGTAATTCCTGTCGACGCTGTCATGAGGAGAAGGAAACATCAGAACATGTTCTGTGGAACTGCCCAGCGATATCAAGATCGATAAATTACAACACCCAGGTAATGTTTTCTATTGAATGGACGCATCATTTGTATATGTATATAGATTTTGTATCAAAATAGAAGTAAAATAAATAGAACTCAGTAAAATAAATTTTACTTTATTTTTAAATAGTTTGTTGTAACTTGCCTAAATTTTTCAATTTAATCAAAAAAGCAGGTCAAAATAAAATCAAAATTTTTTAAATAAAAAAAATTTTCTGATAAATATATTCCCGATGATTTAAAGAAAAGACTTTTTAGTTTGTTTGCAAAAGAAATTGTTAAAAATAACTAACTCCCGTCTTTGACATAAGGAAAGATGGACAAACTGGAACGTTTTTCGAATTATGAAACCTGCTTCAGTGACTCAGAAGACACGTTACTCGAATCTAGCGATATATCTACGGATGATATTGAAATGATTCTTTCACGCGACTTAGATCCCGAAGTTAAAATACTTATAAAAGCATTCTATAATTATTTCGAAAACATGTCACAAGAAAATAATCAGGTCGAATCGGCGACACGTCAACTGCTGCAAAACATGTTGCACGATAACGATGTTGCTCAACAAATTATAAGCGGAATAGCATATTTACAAAACAAGCCACTATTACTTCAATACTTTCTTACCAATGTGATTGAATTCATTAAAATTGTATGGAAAATAGCGCTAAAAAACTCAGCACCAGCCATTTCAGCAAAAGTTAGAACTAAATCTGAAACAACTTGTGATGTGACTGCAGTAGTTACCGTAAAAACCATGGATCCAGAGACTGAAAATGTAGTTGCGAAGTGTCTCGTACCAGCTTATAATATGGGCAAAAAGCAAATTGTTATTTTAATTGAAGATTTTATAGAACATCTTGAAGAGAGCACCCAGTCCAACCAGTTTGAGATTCCAATTACTCCAGAGCTAGAGGCAAACTGCAACGATGACGAGGTTATTAGATTCATCGTACGTGAAATTCCGTACTTAAAAGACAAACCTACGTTGAGGGAATACTTTCAGAATCACATTGAGTTTTTTGTTAAAATATTAAGTGGTGCAAGAGATGTGGAAGTATTAGTGGAAGCTGAAAACGACCAAGCAAATTTGCTACAAAAAACAGTGCGAAACGGTCAAACGTCAAACGATACTAAAGGTACAACAAAATTTCAACTGCTGTATCGAATAATATTTAACCAATTTATTTCATTTCAGAAGATCATAGTCCTGATTTAGCTAAATCGAATACTTCTTCTAAAAATGCTTCTGCCGAATGTCAAAAAATCCAAAACATAGAATTCGCTTTAGAGTTGTTATCTTCCATTGGGTTCACAGATCGCGAAGAAAACCTAATGGTTTTACAAAATTCTGGTAGCGTTTCGGTGGCAGCAATTCGTCTTTGTGAGATCCACAAAAATGCTTTTGCTATTCCGTAGTGAAAAATTTTTATTTGAATGATTGCTTTTAATAAAAGACGTGAACAAAATCATCTAGAAAAAATTATAAATATATTGGTGGTGTTGTAAATCTTCCAAAATCGACAAATTGTTGCTTTCTTACATAATTCGTTTCAATATATTTTGCATTCAAATTAAAATATTTTTTTCTATAATACCGTATATATAGCAATAAAATACATTTATAAAATTGTATTTATAAATTTCAAAGAATTTTTTTGTATTAAAGAGTTGCCGAAAATGGACCATTTTAGAGTAGCCAATTAAAAAATGTACTTTTAGCCGAAAGAAGAGTACTTCGAAAGTTTTATCCATTAAAAAGCACTTTGCCCAAAAAAGCACTAAACGTTTGTTGGTACTCAATTTGTTATTACGATAAGAGTAAGAAGTTGCAGCACTAGTATTCTCTCTCTCTAACCGAGAATAAAATTGGACTGTTATCACCTTATATAGAAAAATGACATATCTTCTTAAACGATCCTATTCTAAAAGAGTGGTAGGCAATTTATCTCAACAAGTAGTTAGTAACTTTGATATCATCTGAGGTTATAGTCAAAGACTATGGATTTTGGGTTTTGAAGCCATCAGTTCGTCATGAGACTTGTGATTTCATACAAAGAGTGCCCTGAAGAAATTGAGTTTTTTGGCAAAATGGAATTTCATATTCAAGCAATGTATCCTTTTGTAGATGGCTCTGTCATAACTGTTCTATAGCTAATTATTGGACTGACAAATAGCTCAGCTACTGTATACATAAAATAAACACTTGTTCTACTTATATTGTAATTTGACTTACTTTATTCGGCAAACTTCTGACAAATCTTCTTCTTGGCAACAATCATTATTAAACATTATAATTATTCGTAGCAATGGTTTTTATAACCTTACTTTGAGACAAGTTTTTTAATAGAAGAAAAAAGTGCAGAGATCGAAACAAATTATAACTTGATGGTGCAATGTAAAAATTATACCACAGGGGTATTCACTCTCTACTTTAAACTCAAATGCTCAATCTCAATCTTCCCATACCTAAACCCATGTATTTATGCTGTGAACAAAACAAAAATAGGGAAAACAGCTGTTTTGATATCTGTTGCTTCTCATTTTTAAATTTGAATCACCTTTCGCTAGTACTTTGTTAAAATGTATAAATTTTAATCGTTTAAAATTTTCTAATTATCAGATAAAAATTAATTTTATATATTAAATATAAATATAGGTATGTATATTAAAATATTCTGGACCAAGAGCCTGATGAAGACATGGTAGCCTCCTCTAGTGATGAAATCGGCTTAATCATCTCAAGCTTGAATATAAGATCTGCACCAGGGTACGATAAAATTAACAACAGATGCTTACGTAACCAACCGGAAGATGCGATCTATCACATCGCAAAAATAATCAACTGTATGTTTAAGCTAGGCGAATATCCTTAAACCTGAACACAGGCCACAGTTGTAGTCTTCCCTAAACCCGGCAAGGACCCGAAGTTTCCGCAGAACTGGCGCTCCATAAGCTCACTGTCAGCTCTACGTAAGTTGGCTGAGAGAGTGATTCTAAACGTACTTAAAACTTCGGTGAACTCGCTGAATATTCTCCCTGACAAACAATTTGGTTTTAGAAAACACATCTCCACAGAATTGCAACTGGTGCGAACGGCTCAGATGATACAGTCAGCCCTAAGGAGAAAAGAATCAACAGGTATGACATTTGACATCGCCAAGGCATTTGACAAGGCCTGGCACGACGGCCTGATAGTTAAAATGTCTCGTTTTGATATCCCAGTCGGGCTAATCAAAATCCTTGGCAGCTTCGTGCGCGAGAGGTTGTTTTGTGTAAGAATCAACAGTACCATCTCGTCAGTGTGAAGAATAGAAGCCGATGTTCCTCAAGGAACTCCATTCTTCCCCTTATTGTACAACATCTTCACGTCTGACATCCCAATGCTAAGTCCCTCGATGCTATCCTTATACGCAGATGACATTTGCTTGTTATATTCCGATAAACTTGCCAGATATGTGACCAATACGCTACGGGAGCATCCTGGAGTTCTCATCCTGGAGTTCTCATCCTGGAGTTCTTCCAGAAATGGAATATAAAAATTAACAATAAGAAAACTAAAGTCTATTTATTACTCGTAACCACAGGCAACATCCACCAAGAATGAAAGTTGGTAAGATTGTGATTAATTGGGTGGACAGCATTAAATACTTAGGGATCACGTTTGATAAGCGATTCGCTTGGCACAAGCACATATAAGTTAAAAGAAGTAGTTGCGCAAAAACACTGCACTGCTTACAACCACTTTTCAAACACAACAACCTTAGCGCGAAAAACAGAAATCTGATCTATAGCCAGACAATTAGACCAGCACTACTTTATGGGTGTGTTGCGTATAGCAAAGCTGCCGACTCTACTATCCAAAAACTACAAGTTGCTCAAAGTCAGGCTCACCGAAGACTCTTCAAAGAGCCATGGTACATCCGCACAAATGACATGCTAAGAGACCTTAGAATAGAGCCGATCAAAAAATACATAAGGTACAGAGCCATAAAGTTATATGCGAAAACTGATAGGCTGTCCTACTTAGCATTATTTAATCTCAGAGTAATCACTAACCACACGGGGCGGTACGCAGATCTTAGATCAATCATTGAATAATAACGAAGATTATGAGGGATACTCAAATTAATCAGTGAGATGGATGGGACTCTGCAGAAACCCCCCAGCCATCATAGAGTAAAAGTGCCCAGATGCAGTAACTCAAAAAAGGCTCAACATAAGACATAAAACGTTTATTGTGTATTATATATTTAGTTTCGCATATTATTGATTGCCGAATCTTAAAATGTACAAAAATTTGCTCTTCGACTCTCTTTCATTTGTTCTTTAAATAGCTTCATCTTGCATAAGCTTATTTGATTTTCCGTCTTTGTAATGTACATAATCCACATATTCCATATCATCATATGAGGGTCCTGAAATTTTGTGCAATATGTAACAAACAGGGAGCCAATTTGAACAAAGTTTGTGACTTGTAACATTCTAAATATGGATTCTTACCTCTTACCTCTTACCGAAGTAGTCAGACATTCAAGCAATGTCAGTTTCGAATTAAGATTTACATTAAGACCGAAAAGTTTTCGGAAATTCTCATTTAAAATTCGCGCGCTGTATATTTTTCGATATTTTAAGTTTATGTAGTTTGGCAGCAATTAAGGAAAATTACTATGCCAAAAATGAGCGCGATCTGTCAGACAGTTCGTTTACGGCAGCTGTTGAAACCAGTTCACCTCAGTAGTGCGTTGCGGAAAAAACAATGGAAAAAAATATTGAACAAAGAGTTTGCATCAAATTTTGTGTTTCGAACGAAATTTCGTGTGCAGAATCGTTGCGAATGCTACAAAAGGCTTATGGGAAATCAGTTTTATCGAAAACTCAAGTTTATGAGTGGTACAAAGCCTTTCAGGACGTCGTACGAGCCGGAAAGACATTTCGCAACGCACTACTGAGGTGAACTGGTTTCAACAGCTGCCGTAAACGAACTGTCTGACAGATCGCGCTCATTTTTGGCATAGTAATTAAGGAAAGTGCTGCCAAACTACATAAACTTAAAATATCGAAAAATATACAGCGCGCGAATTTTAAATGAGAATTTCCGAAAACTTTTCAGTCTTAATGTATATGTTCCATGATATACATTTTCTTTACAGTTACTGACGATGAAACTCAACGTGCCTGGAAAAATGTTCAGTTATCACTCGCAGGAAATGATAACAAATAAAATCTATTGTCTTCTATACATTACCCGATAATATCCTTAAAGGAAGCATTAAAATAAGATAATGTATTGATACAGTTAAATTTAAACTGAACAACTATATTATCTTAAATCAAAGAGTCAACTTTTATTTGTTATCAACAATTCAATTCATAATTATAATATAAACGTCTATTAACATACGCTAATATATTATATATATTATATTATGTATATAATATATTATATAATATATTATTATAAAAAAAATTTAATATAAAATTCTGTTTGTGTATTATTTATACATAGCCTACATTAAATATGTCAACAATATATAAAATCAAAAAAGTTTTAGTTAATTTTAAGTTTAAAAGCATATACCTTCTGCTCAAATAGTATCAAAAAGGATTTTATTGTTTGTTAACTACTCCTTTTTAAAAATCTTCCTCGCGACTTTTTCCTGTTCCCGAAACTCAAATTGCCCCTTCGTGGTAAGCGTTTTGAGTCGATTGAATCGGTAAAAGAGAATTCGCCGAAGGAACAAAAAGCCATACCTGCACGGGCCTTCGACTACTGTATGGAAGATTGGGTTAAGCGTTGGCATATGTGTATCGCTTCAGAAGGAGCATATTTTGAAGGAGATAAAATAAATTTGAAATAAAATTTAAATTTGTGTATTTTATTTTATATTTTAAAAAATTTAATTTTGCAGGGAATATTTTTAATGTAAAATAAGGCCATTCTGAAAATTTCACCATAAAATTCCAAGTTTGAATTTGCCTGGTACTTAATGGGTTAAGCAAAAATTGATGAATTGACATACCATAAGATTGTGGCTGTACTCGTATTCTTTTAAAAATGAAATAGAAATAGTCACACAAACAAAATACCACGTGTTGAAAAGAAATAACACAATTTTATTGTGAATGCATTCAATTTTGACAACTCATTTTTTGCGTTGCATTAAATGTGTGAAGTTCACGAAGTTGACGAAGTTGACGTGGTTTTATCTCATACAAGAAAACATAATCCTAAGCATAAATATGTCTAAAAGTTCAGAGTGTTTCAGTAAATATCGTGATCAACAGTTTATGGTATGTTGAGTTTTTATTGGAAAGTCGTTATAAATTGCATTATAACATTATAATTTGTTTGTAAAGGGATCACGGGCGGAACAAGAACGCGCACTTCGAGAATCCAAAACCTTATATGTTGGAAACTTGTCTTTCTACACAACAGAGGGTCAAATATATGAATTATTTTCGCGTTGTGGAGACATAAAGAATTTAATCATGGGATTAGATAAATTTAAGAAAACTCCCTGTGGTTTTTGTTTCATTGAGTATTACTTGCGTTCAGAAGCTGAAGATGCTCTGAGGTAACTTAACTTTCACAATATAAACGCTTAAGTTAAGCACAATAATTTATTGTTATTTATTTACTTTTTAAGATATTTGAACAATACCAGCCTGGATGAGAGAATCATTAGAATTGATTGGGACGCTGGATTTGTTGAAGGTCGTCAATATGGTAGAGGTAGGACTGGTGGTCAAGTGCGCGATGAATTCCGCACTGATTATGATGCTGATCGTGGGGGTTTTGGAAAGTTGATGTCTCAAACACCTGTCCCAGACATATTTAATCATTAAGAATTAAAAATGTATTGTAAAGTACTTAAGTTTGTCTAAGACAAAATCTTTTTCACAAATAAAATGCAAAACTCACTTGTAAACTAAGAGCTATTGATTTTCGCTCAAATCAATTTAATCAATTGATTTTTAATTTAAATTTAAAAATAAGTCAAGTTTGTTTTTACAGCAAACTTCTTTACATAGCTAAAGCTTAACAATATATGTATTGATAATGTAGATAACTTCATTATAGTTATGTAATATAAAATATGTATATATTAGTTATATAAAAAGTATATGAAAACGTTGTCTTTTGTCTGTGCGCCATTGCGTTACCATTGCGTTACCATTGCGTTACCATTGCGTTAATATGGGTCATTCTTTTACAAATTGGACGTATTTTGACCCCATCAAGATTTCATTTTGAATTTAATATTCATTTAATTTGGAAATCAAAAATAAACGTTATTGTGTCATTTTTTGTGTAAAATTGATTTAATGGTATTATGGTGCGTATGGGTGACCAGTTGGACGCCTGATAAATTATTTTTTTTAATTACTTCTAAAAGCAGTGCCACACTGGAAATATTTATTTTTTAAGTAGAATTTATTGGTTGATCTGAATCAAAATTAAAAAAGAAAAACTTGTGTGAGATATTTCTCTTTTCTTTTTTTTTACTGAAAAATCATTTGTGTGTGTTTGATGTGATGTGAAGGATAAATTAATTTTTTAAAAGTACTCCCAAAGACAAGATCTTGAATGTCTTGAAATTTTTTTCGTCTTGAAGTTTTACGTGAAATTTTATTACTAATCAAAATCAAAAAGTATCTAAAAAGTATCTAAGAATATTTGTAGTATATTCTTTGAAAATTCATTGAATGGAAGTGTAGTACGTATGTGCTTGATGTGTTATATGAAGAACACATAAAATTTAAAAAGATAGAGAAATTCTGCAAATTTTTATTTCTTAGTAAAATTTAAAACTAAATTTAAATGAAGTATAAAAAATGAAAATTCTGGGGATATATGTGGAAAAAATTTTTTCCGAAATTTAACGGTTAATATTTGTACTCCAATATAAACTATCTTAATTGTTTAAAGCTCAATCCATTATCTTTAAAATGCAACAAAGTATTCGATCAAGGAACAACTGCGTATAGTCCATCGGAATGATAAGCTATACAAGCGTTTTCCTGACAATTTGATAATTTACGAGATTATTTTTATTTGAAATATTCTGGAAAAGGTAGGTACCATAAATATAGCTACTTCGAGATATGGTAGCGATTTTAATTATCTTTGATTTGTTGGATTCGTCTCCACTCCGAATAGCAGAATATATTTTAAAATGTTGGAAAAATCCACTAATTTTAACATAAATAATAAATTTATAAATTTTTGTTTCAAACTGTTGACAGTATGTCAGTTTGAGTGATACTGATATTGTTTCAGTACATCGACTTTAGCAACATACCCACTCCTCTCGTATACTTTTCTACGGGAGCTGTTCTAATCCTTCTTATCTCAGTCCTTCTGAATTTCATTTATCTTTTTCTCTCTTTATCACTGAAATTGGATTTTAGTTCAAAATTTAATATTTACAAGAGCTGTGTTGTCAGAGGATTTCTATTTCGATGCCTGTTTTACTGCCTCAATATCAATTAAAAATAAATATTAGGATTAAAATCTTCACACATCTTTATCGCTTTTAAACAAATAATATATTTTTTGTGTTACTAATTTATTTAACAACGTCGAAAATTTTTTAACAGAAAACTAGAACTCAGCAAATTCACTTGATACACCTTATCAAAAATAATTAATTATTGTGAAATTATATCGCACAGATTGTAATAAATTTAAATGTTTTATTCAAATAAAAGGAAAAAAGTAATTCCTTAAAAGAAGTAAAGAAAAAAGAAAAGAGTTGAACACTGCAAGCCTACATAGATCTGTTGAGCTTACGTCAGATATTTTATTAGGATATCAATGAATATCTCCTGTTGTGACCCCGGATTCAATCGCAAAGTCAATATATTTCACATCAGACTTTGTAAACAGAAATTTGATCAATGCTTGTATTGAGGTATAAGTAAAATTGAAACACACTCATACTTTGGCTTATAAGGCTGCCCTCCCCTATCCCTTTCTAACAAAATCTTTTACAAATTCATGAGTCTTTCAAGACTTATATTTGGAATTTAACACAACTTGTTTCGTGAAACTTTTTGGAAATTTCTTGAGCTTTTTTACCTAGAAAGGTTTATGTTAAGAAATATTTATGAAGTTAGTAATTCACTTTTATATAATTAGTAAGCATTTTCATTTATTTTTTACACACTGTGGTAAAAACTAAACCTTTAGCGCTTTATTCAACATTTTGGGATGAGTATTCATTTTCATTTGGTATACATATGTTCTTGATGACAAATTTTGAAGCTTTGATTGCAACGTATAACGTATCTGATTGTTGTCAAAATGATTTTGCTGGTTTTGATCTCGCTCTTCAGCACACTTTTGTGAAAATCTAAATCTACAGTATTTACGTTAACAATTTTTTCATCATTATAGTATATAGAAAATACCTTAAATAAAATTTTAATTTAACTTTCACGTAAATTTTAGTCAACTTTTAATGACTTACCTATTAACCCATTTCGTACTTCCGTGTGGTACACCACACGGCTAACTTTGAAAATTATTTAAAAATATATAAAAGTAATTAATTCAATGTTTTTTGTTTTAGTTACTTATTTTGATATATTAATAATATAAAAATACATATTTCGAACAGTTTTCATCCGTTCATGAGTTTACATGGTCTGAAATACAAAGTGTTTATAAAAATGCTTTTTTTAATTAAATGAAAATTAGAATAAACAGAAATAGAAACTAATATATTTGTTATAATATGTGTTCACATATAAGTCCAAATATAATTTTCGTAATTTTTGCCGGCGCCTTAGTAACAGTTACTTGCCACCAAACGCCGGCAAAAAAAGGCGTGTGGTGAACTACTCGCTGGGTCCCATAACAATATAATGATGAAACAATGCAATATAAATTTAAGTCGTTAGATAGTGAAATAAAATGAGACTAATCTCTCTAATAAATATCACACTCTTCTGATTTACTCAAACTTATGTTTTTTCACTATGCATAATAGTATAATAATAAGTCTATTTTGATATTTAATTGCTGGTTGAGTTAGTCCGAATTTGATTGTTTTATATCGGGCTTACATTTGTTTATGCTAAATGTTCTGTCGTCATTTTTTTGACTGTAAATAAAATTATAATGTCGTGCCTAAGATATCTAAGAAATCAGGAACTAATGCATATTATTGACAATTGACGTTCTTTAAGATGACTTATTAGTGCCAAGTGACACACCGCTACCTATTGAATAATAATGTTTGCCACCTGATAATGTTGCTGGTGAATCGGACAATGAAACGATTGGCGATGATAAAATATCAACAAACATTTCATGTGACTTTAAAATTTTGTTCTGCTTTTTTGACTTCCGTTTGTGTAATTGTGAGAGAGTATTTTGGTGCTACTGAAGTTGTATACGAATCAAATGCACAAGATTATGGTGGTCTTATAGAAATGCCTGAGTCGCAACTATTCACAATGGAACTTGTAAAACCAATACGTTTCGGTTATAAACTGTGAACCCTTTCTGTGAATAGTGAATAGTGAATATATCTTCCAGTTTCTACCATAATCCAGTGCAACTGACAAATACAAGAAAAAATTGGGAATTGGTGCATTTGTTGTAAAGGAATTATTGAGTCATTGTGAGTATCCATTGCAGCATACTTTATGATTCCACTGAACCCATAGTAAATGTGCAACGCTATAGCAGAGAGAGAGAAAAACAAAGGTTAGCGTCCCGCAGCCTCAAGTTATCAACAGCTACAACCGACACATGGGAGGCGCTGATATATATGACAATGGAGTTGCTAACTATCGTATCGGGAATAGAAGCAAAAAGAGGTGGTGGCCATTATGGGAACAGTTTTTAGATAGCGCTGTAGTAAGCGCTTGGAAACTAAATTGCTTTGTCGCTGCTTCTACTAACACAAAACCGATGCCTCAGTTAGACTTCAAGAACTTGATTGCCAGAAACCTTCGTCTTCCATTAAAGAACTCAATGTTCATTACAAAAGCTACCGCTTACGATGATTTGAAAAAGGAAAGTCACAGTGATGTAGAAGATGTTTATCTTCCGGGGAATTTACCAAAGCCACAGTTTTTATATATGAAAAGTGCCATTTAAATAATCATGTAGAAAATTGCTTTAAAATTTTCTATAAAAATAAACAATGTTACATTGATCGTAGACAATGACGCAAGTAAACTTATTTCTTTTTACATAATATAATACATATGTAATAATTCAAATATATTTTTTGATTAATAAATATTTAAAAAGCATAAAACATAAAATTTTATACTTATACGTCTTTTATACAACTTACCATGGTACTTACTTCACCATAAAAGTAACTAAATACAATATTTGCGAACAAAACACATATAAAAATGTTTGTACAATCGAAGAGAGAAAATGTGCTATGGGTCCCAGCGTATGGCTGACCACACGGCACTTTTCCGGAAAACTACTTTTCAAAAATGAAATTAAATTTTGCAGGGAATATTTTTAACGTAAAATAGGACCATTCTGAAAATTTCACCATAAAATTCCAAGTTTGAATTTGCCTGGTACTTAATGGGTTAAGGAGCTAAAACCACACCAAACATTATATTAAAAACAGTTAAATAGAATTTAATTAAATTAAAGGCCGTAAAATTAATCTGATTCTGAAAAAGAGATGTTAGTGTCACATGGACGCTAGAGTACAAACACACCGAGTTTATATTTAAGACTGACGTCGTGTTTTTATTATATATTGTATTTTCATATTACAGGGTTGCCATGACAGTTAGTAAGTTTGCAACAGGTTTAAGTCAAGTGATCTAACTCCCCAAACTAGAAATCAAATTTAATTTTAATTGAATTTGGAGATTTTGAAATTTTACTATAAAGTTTATTTAATTTATTTAAATAAAATTTACAGC